TTTTTAATCCTCATAGGATGCTGCAGCCAGTGCCCAAGCAAGAAGGTCGCACAGTGGTTGTAGTGAACAGCCCACGGACACCCCTTGGCCCTGTCTCAGTCCGCCCCACTCTAGGCCCCGAGTTCTCAGCCCAGCCCGCTCCTGGTCCAGTCCCCCCAGTGCTGCCTGCACCACTGATGGTGTCAGCTTCACCTGCAGGACCCCCACTTGTTCCTGCATCCCAGCCGCCTGGACCTGTTCTCTTGTCTCCCTTGCAACCAAATAGTGGTCCTCTCCCCCAGGGTGAGTTAAATGGGAATCAAGTATAATGGGTATGTTTCTGGGAAAGAAGTAGTGAAATTCAAGGATTGAGGAATTGGAGTATAAAGTTCAGTAGGGTATAAGTAGTAGTTTGGAGGCTTTTGCAGTAAGGCTAAGGCTTTTTCAGGATACATCTGACAGATATTTGTATCTGCAGTGTTGCCATCCCCTCTGGGAGTTCTGAGTGGGACCTCACGGCCTCCCACACCCACCCTGTCACTGAAGCCAGCCCCACCTGCCCCAGTTCGCCTGAGCCCAGCTCCACCTCCAGGCTCCTCTAGCCTGTTGAAGCCCCTCACAGTGCCACCAGGCTACACTTTTGCTCCTGCTCCTGCTGCTGCTGCCACCACTTCTACCACCATAGCAACTGTTACCACCACAGCAGTGCCAGCTCCAACTTCTACACCACAGCGCCTCATCTTATCTCCTGAAATGCAGGCCCGCCTGCCCTGTAAGTTCTCAGGGCTGTGTAGTGAGGGACTTGAGATAGGGAAACAGCTTATGCTAGGAAGCTGTAGGGAAAAAAAGGAACATGAAAGTATAAAGTTCTAGACAGCTAGTTTATGTTAGGTGTTTTGTCACATAGTAGTAAATCATAATTGAGAAACTTCAATGAAGAGATGGCCCATAGATGAGTAAATAGTGGCAAGCTTATCAAAAGAAAAGTGTTTGGAGGCCTAGCAATGTAGCTCAGTAGTAGATTACATGCCCAACATGTACAAAGCCCTGGGTTTCATGTCCTAGGTGCAAAAAAGGTAAAAGGGCAGTCTGGAGCAAGAGGTAGTGATTCTCTAGTAGTTGGCCTAGACAATGTAAAAGGAGATTGCAAAACAAACAAGTGGTATTAGACATAAAGGCTCTCAGTGGAGACTTTGTTGAGCATGGTGAATTATGGGGAAGGTTTAGAAGAACTACAGATTCACGAGAGATGTGTGCTTTGTGGGAATCTGAGATGTGGTTTTGGACAGTGTGAGCCCTGTGTACATAAGGCTTTCTCTGTTTGTAGCTGGAGAAGTGGTCAGCATCGGTCAGTTGGCCTCACTGGCACAACGTCCAGTGACTAGTGCTGGGGGAAGCAAACCTCTCACCTTCCAAATCCAGGGCAACAAACTGACTTTGACTGGTGCCCAGGTGCGCCAACTTGCTGTGGGGCAGCCCCGCCCGCTGCAAAGTAGGTAAAACCCACCCCCTGTCCTGCCTTTTTCCTCCTCTGTCCTCTTTGTTTGTGTGGCTCTTTTTAGATGGCAGCTTTTATGTTTTTTAGGTTTCGGTGGGTAGGGCACAGGGGAATGGTTGGAAGGGGTCTTTGCTAAAAATAGAAAAGATCATTCTAGAGCTATTATTCCCTCTATTCTCTCTCTCGCTCTTGCCTCTGCCCTCCTCAGGCTGATAGGTGCTTCTCTTTCTCTTTCTCTCTCTCTTTCTCTTCCCTTAACCCAGGGAATGTGGTGCACCTGGTGTCAGCAGGGGGGCAGCACCACCTCATCAGCCAGCCTGCCCATGTGGCTCTCATCCAGGCCGTGGCCCCGACCCCTGGCCCCACCCCTGTCTCTGTGCTGCCTTCTTCGACCCCCAGCACCACCCCTGCCCCCACTGGCCTCGGCCTTCCGCTTGCTGCTAACCAGGGTGAGGCTCGTGGCCTTCATATTTACTCAGCCCTTACCTGGCCTTGGTCCTTCCAGGCATGTCCTGGACTACTGTGTGTCTAGCCTTCCCTCAGTGTTGTTTTCTCTCGCCAATATCTCCAATATCTGTTTGCCACCTTCTCTTTCCCCTGTACTTCTTCCATCCTTTGGGTCATGTTTCTTGTCTCCCTTATTCTTAATATAGCTTCCTCTTACAGTGCCACCATCCATGGTGAATAATACAGGTGTGGTGAAGATTGTAGTGAGACAGGCTCCCCGGGATGGACTGACTCCTGTTCCACCATTGGCACCAGCACCCCGGCCTCCAAGTTCTGGGCTTCCAGCTGTGTTGACTCCACGCCCTACATTAACTTCCAGTCGACTAACCACACCTACTCTGGGTACTGCTCGTGCTCCCATACCCACACCTGCTCTGGTGAGGCCCCTTCTCAAGCTGGTCCACAGTCCTTCGCCTGAAATCAGTGGTGAGTCCATAATGACTGAGGCCAGAAATTTTTACTAGACATGAATGAAGCATGGTAGCCCTAAAGGTTTGTTTCTTAGTCACAGTGGATCCCTGTATTAGCATATCATCTTAATTTACTGGGAGCCCCAAGCCCCGAACCAACCCCATGATGCATTTATCAGAATCTTAAAGAAAGAACAAGTTAATCCTATTGATTGAATTTTTGACCACATTTTGTGGGATTAAAGACTTTCTGGGAAATAGCTGAAGCTTGGGGGTTAGTGAATGAGTGGATAGCGGGATCAGGAAAAGGATTTTGAAGCTGAGGCTAACTCATCTTCTGTATCTCCACAGCTTCAGCACCTGGCGCTTCTCCCATGACCATCTCTTCGTCTCTGCATGTGCCGTCCTCACTCCCTGGGCCAGCCTCTTCTTCAATGCCAGTTCACAGCTCTCCCCTTGCTAGTCCCATGTCCTCTACAGTCTCGGTCTCTGTGTCATCATCACTTCCCATTGTCCCTACCACAGTTCCTTCCTCAGCCTCTGCTCCACCTACCGTCCCCGTCTCAGCCCCCTTGCCTGTTTCAGCTTCAGGCCCAACTCTGTTGACCAGTGTGGCTCCAGCACTGACACCTGTTGTCTCAGCAGCATCTGGACCACCTTTGGCATCCACTGGGGTTTCCCCATCTGTGTCAGCCTTGGCTCTAGGTTTGGCTACTGCTCCAGCCCTGTCCCCACCTCAGACATCTGGTCATTCTCTGTTGTTGGCTTCCACATCTTCACATGTTCCAGGATTGAACTCAGCTGTGGCCCCAGCGTGCTCACCTGTCCTGGTGCCAGCTTCAGCTCTGGCCAGTCCTTTCCCTGCAGCACCAAATCCAGCTCCATCTCAGGCTTCCCTCCTGGCCCCAGCACCTTCTGCATCTCAGGCATTAGCCACCTCTCTGGCTCCGATGGCAGCTTCACAGACAACAATTCTGGGTCCTTCTCCGGCTCCTCCTCTGACACCACTTCCAGTTCTGGCTCCACCACTAAGTCCTATTCCTGTCCTGGCTCCATCTCAGAATCCGCTTCCAGCTATAGCTCCATCATCAATGCCAGGAACCCCTTTACCCTTATCATCACTGGTACCAACTCCAACTCCTGTATTGGCTGCATCATCAACTCAAACTATGGTACCAACTGCAGTTCCATCACCTCTTTCAAGCCTGGCTTCTACACAGACGTTGACCCTAACCCCGACTTTAGCACCCGCTCTTGGTGGATTGTCACCATCTCAGACACATTCTGTGGGAGGAGGAAGTCCTCAGGGGCCCTTTTCAACTCAGACTTTGTCATTGACTCCAGCATCATCCTTGGTATCAACTCCAGCGCAGACACTGTCTTTGGCACCAGGAGCATCACTGGGTCCAACTCAGACACTGTCTCTGGCTCCAAGTTCACCAGTAGCCCCTGCTCCAGCTCACACATTGACTTTGGCTCCAGCATCATCATCTGCTTCACTCCTGGCCCCACCTTCAGTGCAAACACTGACCTTGAGCCCTGCTCCAGTTCCTATACCTGCTCTGGGTCCAGCAGCTGCTCAGACCTTAGCACTGGCTCCAGCGTTAACACAGGCTCCAGCTTCCCCGGCATCTTCCCTTGTTTCTACTCCTGGTACCACTTCCTTGCCTGTCACCGTGGTAAACCGGCTGCCAGTTCCCAAGGATGAGCCTGAGACACTGACATTGCGGTCTGGTCCTCCCAGCCCTCTTTCCACTGCTACCTCGTTCAGTGGCCCCCGACCTCGACGCCAGCCCCCACCACCACCTCGTTCCCCATTCTATCTGGTAAGTTTTACTTCCACAAGGAAATTGGAAACTGGGTTTTGGATTGTTGAAAGAGTGAGTGGAACAGTTACAAAGCCCAGGACTATGGGCCAAGTCACATTTGTTTGTTCTCTTTCATGGGTGTATATCCTAACCTATAAAGCAGAAATAATAATCCATATCTTGCCTTTTCCAGGTGATGCTGGGTAGTCCAGCAACAAAACTTATACTCACAGTGCAAGTTATAATAACCCAAGAACTGTTACAAAAGGTCCAGTGAATCCACTCAGATTCCCTTTTTTTTTTTTTCCTCAGTCCTTACCAGAGCTGTTTTTTTTTTTGTTGTTGTTGTTGTTTTTTAAATTCTCCATTGCTGGGAATCAAATACAGGCATGCTAGGCAAGAGATCTACCACTGAGCTGTATCTCTAGCCCTAACAAAAATTTATTGAGAGGGCTAGAGAGATGGCTCAGCGGTTAAGAACACTGACTGTTCTTGCTGAAGACCCAGCTTCAAATCCTAACACCCACATGGCAGCTACGAACTGTCTGTAACTCCAGTTCCAAGGGATCCGACAACCTCTTCTGTCCTCTGAGGGCGTTGCATGACACAGGTGCACTTACCTACATGCAGGCAATACACACACATTTTAAAAAAAAATTATTGAGAAGCTACTTTATGCCAGATAGTCATCAATTATAGTGAGCAAGATCAGTTGTTAGTCCTGTTATATGGAGTTTACAATATGGTGTTCTTAACAAAAGAGAATCAGGTGGGTTTTTTTGTTTTTATCTTTTTTAAAATTTTTTATTTTATTTTTTAGGTCTTTTTGAGATAAGGTCTCCCTGTAGCCCCAGCTGTCCTGGAACTCAGTATGTAGACCAGGCTGGCCTCGAACTCACAGAGATCCACCTGCCTCTGCCTCCCAAGTGCTGGGACCAAAGGCATGCGCCACCATGCCCAGCCAGTTAGGTGGTTTTATAAACAAATTAGAAGCACAAGATAAGGGGATGAAATCAAGATCATCAGATTTCCAGACTGACAGGCTACCCTTTTAACTAAGTGGTTATCAGTTAGTTCTCAGCCCGCTCCATTTCATCCTGGCTATTGGCATAAATCTATATGATGAACTGTGTCCTTTTTTTTTTTTTTTTTTTTTTCTTTTCCTTTGACTTTATAAAAATTCTGACAATTTCATGTGTATCTATGTATATGTATCTTGGTCATTTTACCCTTCATTACCTCTTTCCTCCCCCTCCTACTCCTCTTGAACCCTTTATTCCCAGGTCCCCCTGCTACTTTCATGTCTCTGCATTAACTATCACCCACTGTAAACATAAGTTTCTCTGCTCAAAGCTGAGAGCAGCACTAATCTATGGGTACAAACATAATATTTAGGACACAGCTTAACACTGTCCAGTTAAAAGACTGCCCCTCCTCCCATAGTCTATGACCTCACCAGCCTCTCTCTCTCTCTCTCTCTCTTTAAGTGCTGGGAGTACAGGTGTACACCATCCTCAGCCATAATATCTTGTGTGTGTGTGTGTGTGTGTGTGTGTGTGTGTGTAGGTGTGTAGTGTGTTTTACTACTTAGTATTGTTTGTGTAGATCTAAGGACACCTCTTTAGAGCTGGTTTTCTCCTTCCTTCATGGGTTCTGGAAATACTCATGTTGTCAAGGCTTGTGCAGCAGGTACTTTGACACACTGAGCTGTCTCACCAGCCCAGCCATAGGCTTTTGGCCAGGTTAGAGTATCGGGCATGAATTCTGTCCTATGGAGCAGGCTTCAAATACAAGCAGAAAGCAGTAGGTTACCCCCATAATGGTATGTCACTAGTGCACTAGTGGGCACATCTTGCTTGGCAAGTTGATATTTTAGCTTGTAGGAGTCACATCTGGAAAAGACCCATTGATGGCTTTTCTCCCCCACCAGTATGCAGAAAACCTTATGGTACTATGAAAGTTAGCAGGGAGGAAGCTTGTAGTTTATTTGTACCTTGATTTCTTTATGTCCCGAAACCAAGATGTGTGATGTCTTCAGCAATAGGGTCTTACCATGTGGTGGATAACCAAGAGCATTGGGAATATCCTCTGTTGTTTTGATGGCTTCTGAGGCCTCCCTGGCCAAAGCTTCAGAGAGCTGTATCCCGCACCTAGCACTGGGATTTTCGTTTAATAATCAGTTCCTTCTCTGTCCCCTTCCACTGATTCCTTAGAGAGAGGCTCTCTCCCTGAACCAGTGGCTTGAATTTTCTTAGCTAGGCTGGAGTCAGCACACTCTGGGGATCCTCCTGTCTGCTCCCTTCAGAGCTGTTGCCACAGGCATTTTTGCAGTGGCCCCTTTCTAGAAAGTTTCTTGTCCTTGAGAAGTACTCCAAGTTAAACACAAAAATCTAAAAATCCTGGAAGCCAGGATCAACATATGAGAGAGGAACATGTGGTGTCTTTCTGCTTCTGAGCTACCTTGCTCAGTATACTTTCCATCCATTTTCCTGCAATTTCATTTTTCTGTATAGCTTAAATAAAATTCCATTGTATTATACCACGATAATTTTTTTTTCTTCTTGTTTTTGCGCTGGAGATCAAACCAGGACCGTGTGTATACTAGACATGCATTCTACCACTGTGCTGTATCCGCAGCCCCTAAAAAAAAATCTGTATTTATTTAGAATCTGTGTGTGTTGTGTTCATGTGCATGCATGCACGCAGCATTGCATATATGCTGCAGTACAGTACATGTCAGATGTTAAACCACATCGATCTTTTTTTTGCTTGTTTTTTTTTTATGCATTCCAGGGATAAAGTTTAAGTTGTAAGGCTTTGCATGGCAAGCAGTTCATCCTCTGACCCATCTTACTGGACCCTATTCATAAATTGATGGACATTTAGGCTGTTTCCATTTCTTAGCTTGCGAGTAGAACAGCAGTGAACATGAGTGTGCAGGTATCTTTGTAGTAGGATATAGTATCTTTTGGGTGTTTAGGCCCAGAGTGGTGTAACTGGGTCATTTGGTAGTTCTATTTTTAGTTTCTTTTTTGAGAATTCTCCACAGTGATTTCCATCATCAGACTGCCCCATTTTACACTCTCACTGACAGTGAATAAGGGTTCTCCTTTCTCCACATCTTCATCAGCATCTGTTGTCATTTGTTTTTTGGTGTGTGTTTTGAGACAGGGTCTCCCTGTAATCTTAGCTGACCTAGGATTCACTGTGTAAACCAGGATGAACTTGATCGTACAGCAGTCCACCTGCCTCTGTCTCTGGAGTGCTGGCCTGTGACAGAATACCTGACTAGATTTCATTTTGTTTTGTTTTGTTTTTGAGACAGGGTCTCACTACGTAGCCCTAGCTGGCCTGGAATTCATTATGTAGATCAAGCTGGCCTCAGACTCACAGAAATATGCTGACTCTGCCTCCTGAATGCTGGGATTAAAGAGGTGCTGAGATTTAAGTGCGTATGTCATCATTCTTGGCCTGCCATTTGTTTTCTTTTTCTTTCTCTTTTTTTTTTTAAATTTTATAAATTTTATTTTTATTCCATGTGTATGAGTGTATTGGCTGCATGTATGTGAGTGCACCTGTGTCGTGCAATGCCGAGAAGGTCAGAAGAGGGCTTCAGGTCCCCTGGAACTGGAGTTAAGGACAGTTCGTAGCTGCCATGTGGATGCTGGGAATCGAACTCTGGTCCTCTGCAAGAACAGCCAGTGCTCTTAACCGCTGAGCCATTTCTCCAGCCCCCTTGTTTTCTTTTTCTAATGGTTCGTTTGGGGGAGGGGGGTGTTGAGATAGGATCTTCCTATAGCTCCAGCTAATCTGGTATTTTGCTGTGTAGACCAGGCTTGCCTGGATCACACAGAGATCTGCCTGTATGTACAACACGTGTGTGTGGTATCCATGGAGGCAGAAGAGGGCATTGGATTCCCCCTAGAATTGGAGTTAAGGACTGGTGTTAGCTGCCATATTGGTGCTGGGAACAGAATTCAGGTCCTTGCTCTTAACTGCAGAATCATCTCTCCAGCTCCACATTTATGGGCTGAAAAGATGGGAAGCAGAGAGAGAGAGAGAGAGAGAGAGAGAGAGAGAGAGAGAGAGTGTGTGTGTGTGTACCTACATAAGAGGGTAAATTAAATTATATGTTCTGGAGTTGAATATTATAGAAAAATTCTTACAAATCATCTGCTATAAACTGTTGGATAAGCAGATCTTAATTTTGAATATTCAGGCGTTCTGCTTTAAGCATCATATACAAGAGAAGGTGTGTTTTATAGTAAGCGATTTCCTTTAGCATTGTGAAAGGAGCAATTTTCATTAACAGTTTGGAAAACAATAAAGAACATGGTATCCATCTTGGATCTTGTGATTTCTTTTTTATTATTTTTATTTTATGTGTATGTATTGCCTGCATGTATGTGAGTGCACCCATGTCGTGCAATGCCAAGGAGGTCAGAAGAGGGCTTCGGATTCCCCTGGAACTGGAGTTAAGGATGGTTCATAGCTGGCATGTGGGTGCTGGAAATCAGACCCAGGACCTCTGCAAGAGCAGTCAGTGCTCTTAACCGCTGAGCTATCTCTCCAGCCCCAGACCTTGTGATTTCTACAGACTATTTCCATCTGGAAAAACTCAGGTTTTCTGTAAAATTTTGTTTTTCAAGCACACCAGTTATTTTCTCTGTTTTGTGTTTTCTCTTCTTAGGACTCTCTGGAAGAAAAGCGGAAGCGACAACGATCTGAACGCCTGGAACGGATTTTTCAACTTAGTGAGGCTCATGGGGCCCTGGCACCTGTGTATGGGACTGAAGTCCTGGATTTCTGTACCCTGCCCCAACCTGTTGCCAGCCCCATCGGCCCTCATTCTCCTGGTCCCAGCCACCCCACCTTTTGGACTTATACCGAGGCTGCCCACCGGGCTGTATTGTTTCCCCAGCAACGACTAGACCAGCTGTCAGAAATCATTGAGAGGTTGGCAGAGCTAAGTGCTGATGGGGAGTGGGACTTGGGGCCTTAGTGGATGTAGTTTTTAGGGCTGATGGTGATAACTTCTGTGATACTTCAGGGTCACATCTTTTACAGTTTGCCTTCTTCCTTTCACAGATTCATCTTTGTCATGCCTCCTGTGGAGGCACCTCCCCCTTCCCTGCATGCCTGCCACCCACCTCCTTGGCTGGCCCCTCATCAGACAGCCTTCCAAGAGCAATTGGCCTGTGAGCTCTGGCCCCGCGCTCGTCCTTTGCACCGTATTGTGTGTAATATGCGCACCCAGTTCCCTGACTTGAGACTCATCCAGTATGATTGTGGTGAGTTCACTGGCTATTGCAGCACCCTTGGTTTCTTTTATTGGTTTTGTTTTGTTTAGAGAAGGTCTCATGTAACACAGGATGGCTCACTGTGGAGCTGAGGATGATTTTGAACTCCTGATCCTTCTGCCACTACACCCAGCTTCTTCTCAACTTTGTGGCAAGATGGTTTTGTATCACAAGGATGCTGTATAGATAAAGGGAGGCAATTCATTTTATGACTTTTGTGAAAGCATGTGTTGTTAGTTGATTTATTTACTCAGTAATTGTTCATGAATATCTGTCATTTTGCTAATTTGGCATAAAACACTGAGATAGCATAATACAGACTTATTAAAAGTATAGAATAAGGCTGTTGGGCATGATGGTACACACCTGTAATTCCCACTCAGAGATAGGTGGATGGACTGTTTTAAGTTCAAGGCTAACCTAGTCTACATAGCAGGCTTCAAAGCTAGGCATGGTAGTGGATACCTTTAATCCCAGCACTTGAGAGGCAGAAGCAGGTGGATCTCTGTGGGATCAAGGCCAGCCTGTTCTACGTAGCAAATTTCAGGCCAGCCAGAGCTACAAACCAAAACCCTATCTAAAAGAAAAAACTTTACAGAAAAAGGTCTGTAGTGATATAAGACTACACAGACAGGGACATTTGGGAGCTGGAAAGGTGACTCAGCAGTGAAGAGCACTGGCTATTCTTGCAGAGGACCCAGGTTTGTTTCCCAGCATCCTCATGGAGGCTTATAACCATTCCTAATTCAGTTAGAGGGAATTTGATACCCCTTTCTGTCCTCTGTGGGCATTGTACAACACAGGTGCACCTACATACACACAGACAAAACACTCATACACATTAAAAAAAAAAAGACAAGGACCCTTGTATTGAATAGAATGCATTTGGCTACAGGTAACAAAACCAACTTTTACACTGGCTTAAACTGCAAGAGGAATCTATTGTTAATAAGAAGCTGTGAAAATAGTGTGTGGCTGGATCATCAGCTTCATCTATCTAAGGCCACCTTGATTTTTCTGCCCTGCCTACCATCCTTTTTTGTTCTGCTTATTTCTTCATAGTGTTAAGATGGTTGCCACAGCTCCAGGGAACATACTGCTTCTCTAAGCAGGAAGCAAAAGATTGAGATTTAAAACACTCCTAGTTGCCAGGCATGGTGGTGCACACCTTTAATCCCAGTGCTTGGGAGGCAGAGGCAAGTGGATCTCTTGAGTTCGAGGCCAGCCTGGTCTATGTAGTGAGTTCCAGACCAGCTGGGGTTATAGGAATCCCTGTCGCCTTT